CATCCGCAGTTTGTAGAAATTATAGAGATGAGCAGCAGTAGAAGAGGGACCTTCTCCTGAAAATCTCTTTTATCTGTACTTCAACTCAAGCGTTTCCGCAGCGTTTAAGAAATGCCATAAACGGCTTGCGGGCTTCAGCCCTCGTAGTGCAACAACCGCAGCCCCTAAGCCCTTTCAACCCAAGCCCTAAACCCTAAGCCCTAACCCCTAAACCTTAAGCCGTGTAACCACTGAAGCCCAACAAAAACTGACTGTGGGCCGGGCCATTGACGCTTCCCTCCGATTTCTGAGACGTTCCTGCTCTGGAGTCGGAACGGCCCGGCTGAGCCCTAAACCCGGCTGAGGCTTGCCTTTATAGAGAAAACAAGATAAACAAATAAATACATCTAAATATAGACACATCTATTTATATATAAGCAAATAATCAAATGAATTAATATATATATATATACACATGTATAGACATGTTATACATGTCTATATAAACATCTATGGCTCCCACCTCCTGTGATACTGCATACTGTAGGGTTCGTAGGTTCTCATATGGCTTGAGGGTGCTTCCTCAATTCTTTCAGTCCCTGAAGAAGTTGCGCCAAACACCTCTGTATTCCAGAAGGAAAGCTCTGAGAAGGACCGCAGAGCAAGCACCTGCACACTGCTTATAGGTCCGCAGCGTTGTAGACAGCCTAAGACCCTAAGCCCTAAACCCTAAACCCTACTAGTAAGAGAGGTCGAAAGATGACTGAACCCCCTGAGGCCCCAGATCCTAAACTGCAATCCCGAAGCCCAAAGTCTCTAGGGTTTAGGGTTTAGGGTTTAGGGTAAATAATTAAAGCAACCATAAAGGTCATGTAGAGAAGCAGATCAGGTCATGCAATGTAGAGAAGCAAATCCGAGCCTCCGCACTAACTCGTGGCCGATCCTGCGGACAAAAACTTTCGGACTTTACCACAATGGGGGGTTTCGGGTTTTAGGGGCTGTAAGGGGCCAGCGAGGTTGGGCAAGGGTTTTTCGCCTGAGGATTTGAGATGCAGGGTTCAGGCTATTAATTACGGTCCAGGCTGGAGTCTTGTTCAGGTCATGGGTTTCGAGTTTGTATACAAACTCTCCAAACCTTTAGTACATAGGCAGCTTGAGAGAAACCAATATATAGACAGGATGTCGGCGCGGTTGGCGGACACTGCAGGGGCGGGCCGCTCTCAGCCTCCCAAAATACGGAACCGTACCTATCGTCTCCATAGGAGTTCTTTTTTGGGTTACCTTATAGGATCCTAGGCAAATAGAGGGAACTCCAACAAAGACTGAAGGTACGGACCTGAAGCAGAAGCCTCGGAGCATCTCCATGCTCCGGCCTTGAGCCCTGTGAACCCTTAACCGAGCAAAGCTGGAAGTCAGCAGCTAAACTTGAAGGCCGTCAAACCCTCTAATGCCTAATCTATCCTAGAAAAAATGCAGATCCCGTCGGAAACAAACCGGGATACCTTGAGGGTAGGGAGATTTCGGCTTGCAGGATTTAGAGTATCAGGGTTTGGGGCTTAAGGTTGTAGGGTTGAAGCCAGTGAGGTTGGTTGGTTTGAGGCTATAGCCTCTCAAGGTTCAAAGCTTAACAGTTTGGGCTTGATCTGCATTGCGCCTCGGACGCTTGAGCAGGCCGACGATATGCCTCACGAACTCACAGCGTGTTGCATAGCTTTTGGGGCCTGGGAGCCTCTGCGTCAGTTGGCGCTCGGAATATGCAGATGATGGCGGTGCATTCGTAGTCCTCTTCATGAACAAATTGGTCTGTGAACTATTCATTCCGTCAGTTGCAAGGCCACCGGCAAAAAGTTCAAGGATCGTGCTTGGATGATAGCCTGCGCTGTGGTTCCCGGCCTTTCAAAGCGACACGCTCCCTCGTAAGCCCAAGACTCCCAAAGTCCTAGCTGCCCCTGAAACAACCAACCATGCACCCGCAGCCCCCCAACTCTCAAATACTTGACACACGAACACGAAATTGTTAAAACCTCACACCCTGCCTTCAAAAGCCCCACGACAACGCCAAAACCTTTCAACACCTCGAGCCTTTGACCCCCAAACCCCTCTGAGGGCCCCCCCGCCCCCCTTCTCCCCCTATGCCTTGGCCGACCTCGGTAGGTGTGGGTTCGGAAAATCGATCGCTCGGCCTCTTCGATGACCTCGCCTGAGGCTGCAAACTCTAAGGATTTCACAGTTGGGGGAGAGAAACCCTATAAGCCAGGAGATTCAAAAGCTGACCAACCCTAAACTCCCAAACAAGCACTCTCTCACAAAATGAGTCCTGCCCATAGGCCCCAAAGTAGTTCCTTTTTGGGATTACCTTATAGGTTTCTATATATGAACCCAAAAGGAACTACTTTAGGGCCTATGGGTGTGTGCCTGAGATTTTTAGGTGTTCAGCCTGGCCCACAAGCCTAAGCGCTGACCAGTTTCTGAAAGTTTTGGTCTCTTTAGATGGGTTTAGGGTTTAGGGTTTAGGGTCTTCATGGTCTTTCACTGATTGCAAAAGAAGGAACAATGCTGCTGCATCTAGAGATGCGCACATGAAGACCAACTGAAAAAGCTGTGACGACAGGCAGTCTTCACCGGCACCCTGCCCCGTGCCCAGGAGCCTGTCACATCTTTTGCTACTGCTAATGCCTATGAGCCTCCCAAATACCTTGCTGCACCATGTGCACTCTATTGCTGGAGCTTACAGTCGTGGAACACCGGGGGCTGTTGAAGACGTAGGTTTGCGACTACATCGCTGCCGCCCACGCTGAAACACAAAAATGTTCTACCCACCAATTGCTCCTTGGAGTTTGCACTGGCACAGGCACCACTCGGCACCCGTCCACTAGTCATGGCCCAGTCGCTTTGCCACTCCTTCACCTGCACAATAGCAGGTGTCGCTGCAACGAATGCAGAAGCCACAGTGTCATTGCAAAAGCTTGGTTAAAAAGTCATAGTGCGCTTGCTATCTCGTAAACCTCAAACCGCTTGCACAAAAAACGCCAAATGCTTGGAGGGTCACACCGTGCGAACTTTTACTGCCAGCGCACCCAAGCAGCCCCAAACACTACAATGGCGTTAACCATAGCAGGGCCGGCAAAGGGCTTACCAAAGCAAAGGCTTGGAACCTGTTTTGCCAGAACGAGCTTCTGATTCTAAACGACAAGAAGCATTACGACCGTTTATTGATTTTCAAAAAATGTGCCTTGCAACTCCTTGGAGAAATATATAATCCTGCAAGTTCTGAGCATGAAACAGCTCCTGACCTGCGTTCACAAGCTGGCCTTCGGGTAAGCTTGGTACCACTTGTCGATCATGCCTTGTGCCTGTTCGGCCGGCTTTTATCGTTTGGGGTTCAGGCGTTTATGGGTTTGGCATGCATGTTTCACCTGAAACCAAAGCTTGACACCTCTCACTGGGGCAGAAGACACTGGAAAGACCGTTCAGCCCAGCCTCGCGCTCCTGGCAACTCCTCGGACGCTTGGAATTTCAGGGCCGGCGCGACACGCGGCATGTTAATGTGTAAAGGATTCTAGATTACTCCCCAAGCATTGTGGTGACACTAGGGGGGCTCTTGCCTTCGAACTATAAGGAGAGTGTTGATTGCGGTGCGCGCGCGCCAGGCTCTCCCCGCGTCCAATTATTAACAGCTGCAAATCTGGTCCGTGCCTACTATGTACACAAGACGCGTCTCGCGCTGCGGCGCGGTGCATAGTTTTCGCTGAAGTACACTATTTACACCAGATGTCTGCGACCATACGCCCTGCCGAACCCGGTCCATGTAAATTATAATACTACAATTTAAGGACCACTGCTTGCGGATCTTGTATGTACGTATGTATGTGTACACCTGATACCTGCCTCCTCATTATCATCTGTCGCTCCTCAACAACCAGGTTATCTCGGTGCGTGTGGAAACCGCCTAAGAAATACGGTCGCGCTAGTTTCGGGTGGATGAGGCCGTTCTTGCTTGGTTGAAGCTTCTGTGGTTAATTCTTGTGTTGATCCAGCGCAGATTTTGTGTTGGCATAGGTTTGGGTTCTGGGTTTCGGCCAGGGCTTCATACGAGGGCACAAATTTGTTTCTCAAAATAGTTCGCTGGGTTTTTGTGGGCTGATGGCTTCAATTGGAAAGCTTATGGGTTCGAGGGAATTCAATTCTTGGAGGTGCCCCAGCCTTCAATATTCGAGAAGCGGCGGAGAAGAAGCCCCGAACCCTCCCCAAACAAAGCAAAGCAATAATAGGGTCGGAACGACTGCAGGTATGTGGATATGGGGGTTGTTCTTTATTAAGGTTGCAGCCCCTAACTCGAAAATCGTCTTGCGCTTCGCCCTTGCGCGCTCTTGCGCGTACACGGTTTTACACACATTCCCACCCTGTAGTAGCAGTAGTAGTATCATTCCCCACGCAGCGAATCGTCCGTCTTCGCCTAGCGAGCTGACAGGTAGCACGTTGTTCAT